GGTCACACATAAAAACTAAGGAGAATGGAGAAATAGCCAAAGAGAGTTGATTATCCAAGGTTTTCTAGCACCTACCAAGGGTAATAAAGTTATTTATATTATTATCATTGAATTAGATAATGGAGGGTTATATTAGTTATTATGAATAATTTAAGAGTTAAATTGCTAATTGGAATTCAATGGAATTCCAATTCATAATTAATCATTTTCTTTATATGAAATTGGATTTAATAATGGGTTGTAATTGTAAACATATGAACAATTTAAAGGTTAAATTGTTATGTAAACAATTTAAGAGTTAAATTGTTAATTGTGATTAAATGTTAATCCAATGTTATTATTTAAAATTTTAAAGAAGTTTAACAACTTCATAATAATTATGGAATTATTTACGACTCTAAAAACAATTATGGAATTGTTTAAGGAAGTCCAAAACAATTATTGAATTGTTTATAAGGTTTCATATATAAAGAAAATGATATATCAATTTTAGGGTAGAGATCAAAATCTCTAAATCTCTAAGAACCCTAAATCTCTCTCTTAGCCTAATTCTTCTTCTACCTTGGTGTGGATACTCTTTTGTTTAATTTCTCTTGAAATTAAAAGTCTCCAAGGTTGCTAAAGACTTAAGGTAACATGTTATACCTTACTTATTTTCAATTTAATTGAAATTTTTTTAAACTATGAATATACATGTTATAGTATCACATGCATCATTTTCCATGTATTCCATCTTACAAATATTTGGAGTGGTAGAGCTAAACAATATTATATTTGTGTGACTAGTCATTATTTTGATAACGAATGTAAATTAAATAAATCTTTATTGGGATTTAGATTAATGGATGTGGAACTTAGTGGTCAATAAATTTATAATAAAATTGTTAAAGTTTTAGAAGATTATGATGTTGTTAATAAAGTGATAAGTTTAACTTTAAAGAATGCAAATGCTAATAGTATAGCTATAGATTTTTTTTAAATTAATTTTCCTTTTTATGACAATTTGAAGTTTTTTCACTAACGTTGTGCATGTCACATTATTAATTTAATTGTGAAAAGTGATATGAAAAAATTAGAAATAATATTGATAGAATTATGGATTCTTTAGCTTGGATTACTAGTAGTAATAAAAGAAATGTTGAATTTCAAGATGCTTGTATAAAATCAAATATGTCTCTTAGAACTTTTGCATTAGACATGCCTGTTAGATGAATAATACTTATTTAATGCTTGATTCATGTTTACCTTATGCAAATTTAACTAGTTATTTTGTAGCAAATAATAGAAGTCCTCATTATTTGGTAGAAAATGATTGGCATATAGCTAAAAAATTTCATTCTTTTCTTAAATTTTTTTACTAATCCACTTTACAACTTTCTAGTGTATATTATTCTACTAGCCCATTGGTAATACATACAATTATAAAAATTTCAGATTTATTTAGAAAAAACAAAAACTATGAAATTTTAGCGGGACCAATATAGGCAATGGAATTAAAATTTAAAAAATATTGGAAACTCATTTATTTTCTTTATTATTTAGGTGTTATATTTGATCTTAGAATTAAAGTAGCAGGTTTAGAAAATAGTTTAGACACATTAACTGAAAATTTACAAAACGAAGCATATGCTAGTCAACTAGGAGAGGTAAGAGAGTGTCTTGCAAAGGTATATTTGCAATATAAAAACAGGTATGAGAACCAGCAAAGAGGCGAAATACCCAGGGAAGCTGCATTAGAAGAAACAAATGAAGACTTCGACTCCCGGAGTGCACTTAATAGGCCAAAGAGGACCCAAACCCGAAGCACAGCCTCCTCTTTAGAAGCACCAACAACGAATGTGCTGTCCTCCATGCAGTTACAGAGTAATGAGCTTCACCAATATTTGGGAACCCTTGAAGTGTTACCAGCAGATCCACAACGAAGAGCCAACTTTGATGTCTTAGAATATTGGAAAACTAGAAAATGTATTTTTCCAGTATTATCAAGACTTGCCTTGGATGTTTTCTCTGTTCCTGTCTCAACTGTCTCATCCGAATAAACATTTAGTGCAAATAGAAGAATTTTAAATGAAAGGAGGACTAAACTTTCTCAAAAAATGATTGAAGTCCTCACATGTCTTCGAGATTAGGAATGGTCGCGCCATCAGGATTAATACGAGGTTGTCGACGATACTTTAATAGAATTATTTCAATTTTATAATATAGATGATAAGGATGAAGGAGGTCTTAGTCAACCCCCAAATTAGTTGTTTTGTAAGTTGTAAGTTGTAAATTAATTGTTAATTATTGCACTGTTTTTTCCTTACCAAGTTTTTGTCTCATTGAGTTTTTCTTGGTAAGGTTTTTAATGAGGCAATAATTGCTGTAATTTCTTATTTTATTTTTTGATAAATGAATAAATCTAATTTTTCTTATATTACAATTTCATTGTATTAAAATTGAATTAATATTTGAAATGTTAACAAAAAAAATTAATTTAATTGAATTATTGATATTTGAAAAGTTAACTAAAAAGTAAAAACAATTACACAAAAAAAAAAAAAAAAAAATTATGGCCTAACCCGGCCCGCATCAAGACCCGCCAGGTTAGGGTTTTTGGCCAAGAGGCGGGCCTAACCTAACCCGCCCTTGTTGCGGGTCGGGCCTGGCGGTCGGGTTAGGCCCGACCCCCCAATTGCTATAACCCGTGATGAAACTTAAGGTTTTAGATTTATAATTTTTATAAGGACAAACCGATTTTGGTTAACCGGTTTGAAATTACCCTTAAATCGTTAACCGAATCTGTTTTCTAGTTTGGTCAATTTTGAAAACCGAAACTGAACCAGTTATTCCAAAAAACCGATTTTTCGGACCAGTTTCCCAATTCAGTTTGATTTTCAGGTTTTTTTTTTCACAGCCCTAATTAAAACAATGCCCTTGATTATTAAGAATTGAAATGCTCTCGTGATCTCATCCGTTTCTCTTCTATACATTACATGGAGTGCTAAACCTGAGGGGTACGGTTTATTTTTGTGATAATTAATGTAGAACACTTCAGCATTTCAGTCTTGTCCATTAATATGTAAGAAGCAAGCCAAACAAGCATTGGACTAGCAGAAATATAGTGCCTGTTTGTTGCACTTTTTGAAAAATGTTATGTTGAAAAAATGTTTTAAGTTGAGATGAGTTCAATCAAATCAAATTGGATTTGAATCTAAAAATATGTTTGGTAAAATATTTGAAAATTATATTAGAGTTGGATAAAATACTAAATAGTTATTCGGTACATATTTTGAAAAAGGTTTTTAAAACAGAATAGTTGTTTGGTACATTTTCTAAATATATTTAGATTGTTTTTTTAACCTCCTACATTTGTTAATTTAGCTAAACACCTCTACAATAAAAGTTTAAAAATTAACAAAAATACCCCAGCCACCCAAGAAGACAGTTGGCCATCGGCTACCACTGTTGGATGGCAACCGGCAGTAGCCGAAACGGCGCACGATCGACTGGATTTGCCCAGTTATGACCAAATCTTTGGCCATAGATCTGGCCATTTCTGGCTAGATCCATGGTGAATTTGGCAGGAAACAACTAGATTGGTGCACGAACAACTAGATCCAGGTCAGTCGTGCTCCGTTCTGGCAACGTCGGCTAGCAACAGCGGCGATGGTTGTTGGTAGGCAGTGGTGGTCTTGGGTGGATTAATTTTCAGAGTGGAAGGAGAGAAAGAAAAATGTTTTCAGTTGAATAGAGTTCATCTGAATACAAGTCCCACCTTTTTTTTCATTTTTAGATAAAAAAATCTTATTTGAGTTTGATTAATTTTCAGATTGGATTGACCGAATAAGTAAACAAATACATATCTTATTTTTTAATCCAAATAGGATAACAGAAAAATAATTCAGAATAATGTAACAAATAAGGGCATAAATTTTCCACTTTTTATCCGATACAATACTGGTAAACTAATGTGTCCATATACCTCAAGAGTAATGCTACACTTACATCACTCTTTTACACAATTTTCATTACATCATGATGTGGTATATGTCACAACCACATAAATTTTTAATTATTTTAAATTTTTAATATTATAATAGAATTTGTATGGTTGTAACATACGTCACATCATGATGTTTACAAAATGGTGTAAGTGTAGCATTACTCATTCCTCAAGCCTTAATTTTTGGACAAACTGGTACCTAATAAGTTATTCCCCTGATTATTCTTCCCAAAACTTAATAACATAATTTAGATTACTGTGACGAAATAAATCAAAACTAAATAAAAAAACCATTTATATAATTAATAATATTAGTAAAAAATGAAATATAAATAACTAGAAATTAAAATTATTGATGCTTGATTTAACGACTCGCTAAGCAGACTTAGAAATCACACGTGATAAGGAAACATGAAATGAGATAATGAATGGGAAGCGATATTTAAAGTGGTTCGGATGCTCCAAAGCGAATCCTACGTCCACCAATCTCATAAATGAGAGGGGTGTCCTCTATTTATAGTGGGAGGGTTCAAGGTAATGATAACGAGTTTGCAAGTGGGTAGGTGTCGTGCAAGTCCTTTCTTGTATCCTATTGATTATTTGCATGAGAAATATTCTCAAATGCATAGGGCTTGGGTAGGTGGATAATCCCTGGCCACTCGCAAGCCTGACATTCACCTGGTGCACTGACAAGAATCATACCTCTTCAGTTATTGGGCGACGTGGTAGCACCTAGAAGACACAAATCCTTTCTGAATCCCAATTGGCTTTTGTTGATAGGAATCTGCGTCAACCCTAACTTTTCAACTTTTAAGGTATAACAAAAATCACCTTAAAGAAAATAAAATCTTCACCTATTAGGTAAGAAGACTTTCTCTGTAATTAAAATAATACCGATAATAAGATTTTCTTTTTAATCGTTAAAAACTGGAGCCAATTTGGGCCAAGCCCAAACGGCCTAACAAGGCAATGTCGATTTGATAATACAAGTTTCCCTAAAAATCAAACCCCAGCGACTTCTTTTTATTACCCTCACTCGGCTCCCTCGCTTTCTCTTTTTGCTGCTTGTTTCATTTCACTCGTCTAAAATCTTTGAGCTAAGCAGCGTTGCTCGTTTCCCTGCAAGAACACTCAAGCCACTAAAGCTCTCGCCGAGCCGCAATGAACTGTTCAAGTAACTCTCTCTAACCTTGCCTTTGCGTTTTCTGTTAAAACGTTCATTTTCGTGATCTAATTCCGTGTTGTTTTCTGTTGTGCGTACAGTATCCGGCGAGGTGCCGGATGAGCCTGTCGTCTCCAAGAAGTCAGGTTTACTCTTCGAGAAGCGCTTAATCGAGAGACACATTTCGGTATGCATTTTTCTTTTTTCTTGTTTTCAACTTAAAGTCTAGGGTTTATGTTTCTGAGAAAGCATAAGGAAATTTAAAGAAATTGCTAGAATGTCATATGTTTACTTAAAAGCGTTTTTTCTTCTGTTAAACTATTGAAGTTTTTTTCTTTTATCATTTAGGGTTACTTGTGGTTTGGTTACTAGGAATAGTTTTTTGTTAAATTCTTTGGTTATTCAAAAAGATAAACTAGAAAAAGAAACCAATTTGGAGAATTTCACCTAGAAAATGCTTTATTCAACTGAGCGAATACAACTATTTTTCGTAGTTTAGGTTAATTTCTCACAGGGAATGCTTAGGTAGCAAGATGCTTTATTTATATCAATGGGTTTTAGTCGTACAGGACGTCATGTTTGTAATGTTAAAAGTTAATTTAATAATGAACATGAATTGTAGGACACCATTTCAGTAATATGTAATACGTGATATATAAATTTTACCATTTTTACTTCGTAACTTGCCTGGTAATGTTACTTGGACAATACCACAGTGGTCTACATTATATAATGCATCTTTTTTGTGTTTCCTTTCCATGGAAACTAGTACTTTTATACAATTTAGAGTCTATGAGTTCTTGTCAAAATTAAAACTTTAATAAGAACAGCATTCAAAATTTTGAATGTACTTTTTGTTGCTCATGTTTACCTTTTAGAATGACAAAATAGGAGTTTCTAATTCTGTTTCTTCTGTTTTATTTGACCATATATTTGATAGAGATTTATATTGTTGTTTCTTGTGTTATTAGGATTATGGAAAATGCCCAATAACAGGAGAACCTCATACTATGGATGATATTGTTCCAATCAAAACAGGCAAAGTATGCTTAGTTGTGACATTATCATTGTTTGTGTTTAGTTGTTGAAAATTTTATTGCTTCCTTTTTTTCCTGTATCTTTGCTTGCTAATTTATATATTCTTAATGGCTTGTCTGCAGATTGTGAAGCCCAGACCCTTAACAGCTGCTAGCATCCCTGGGATGCTAGGAATGTTCCAGAATGTATGTGTTTATGATATATTACTTTGTGCATGCAATTTTAAAGTTTCTACTTTGTTTAGAAGGTAGTATTAACCGTTCCGAAAAGAATACTGCTCTCAAATAGATGTGCTGGTCATGACCTTATCGTCGTCATTGTTTTTTTCTTGTCGTGAAAGACATAATTGATGAGTGTTCTGTTAAACTCTTCATTCAGAATGATGTGTTTTCTATATTCTATAGTCTATTGATAACATTGTAATTGGGAAATTAGGTTATGATAGTGGTGTTCTGAAAGTGCTTTCTTAATATCTAGTTGTTGGCAAAGTTGTTTTCCATGTTTGTTTTGGTTACGATTCTATATTGTTGTCATATTGATTATATAGTTTTGCATGTTAAAGCTATCTTAAGATTTTGGTCGTGCGATACCTGTTTGTGCTTTATTGTTATTGACTGTTGGATGTTTCTTATATTAATAATGGTGGTCAATGCTTAATTCTTAAAATGCCTTTCCACAGTTCATTACTGTAAAATTTGTTGATTGTGAGTTGGCTTTGTTATCATTCTCATTTTAATAGGTACTAACTTTTATATTTTTAATTCTTGATTTTCATTAGCATAGTTCTTATAGATTTTGTTATTTTTGTTATTGTAGGAATGGGATGGTTTGATGCTATCTAATTTTGCTTTGGAGCAACAACTTCATACAGCCAGACAAGAGCTTAGTCATGCCCTATACCAGGTAAGCAACTAGCTTATTTCTGCTAAAGTTTTGATTTCATAATATCTTTTGCTTTTGTGGACTATTTTTATAGTATGCGATTTACAATTCATTGATCAATGCTAGTGAAGTATGTTTGTATCGTCATTATATTTCTTCCTATTTCTTTTCATAGTAAACATAGGTTATATGGTCAATGTATGATGGAGGTAGATAGGTGAAAAAGATAAAATTTTCTTGGCTCCGTTTGGTTCACTATTCTGATACTTTTTAGAATAGTATTTTGGAAACAAATATTTGGAGTGGTAGAGCTAAACATATTATATTTGTGTGACTAGCATTATTTTGATAACGAATGTAAATTAATAAATCTTTATTGGGATTTAGATTAATGGATGTGAACTTAGTGGTCAATAAATTTATAATAAAATTGTTAAAGTTTTGAAGATTATGATGTGTTAATAAAGTGATAAGTTTAACTTTAAAGAATGCAAATGCTAATAGATAGCTATAGATTTTTTTTAAATTAATTTTCCTTTTTATGACAATTTGAAGTTTTTTCACTAACGTTGTGCATGTCACATATTAATTTAATTGTGAAAATGATATGAAAAAATTAGAAATAATATTGATAAATTATGGATTCTTTAGCTTGGATTACTAGTAGTAATAAAAGAATGTTGAATTTCAAGTGCTTGTATAAAATCAAATATGTCTCTAGAACTTTTGCATTAGACATGCCTGTTAGATGAATAATACTTATTTAATGCTTGATTCATGTTTACCTTATGCAAATTTAACTAGTTATTTGTACAAATAATAGAAGTCCTCATTATTTGGTAGAAAATGATTGGCATATAGCTAAAAATTTCATTCTTTTCTTAAATTTTTTTACTAATCCACTTTACAACTTTCTATGTATATTATTCTACTAGCCCATTGGTAATACATACAATTATAAAAATTTCAGATTTATTTAGAAAAAAACAAAAACTATGAATTTTAGCGGGACCAATTAGGCAATGGAATTAAATTTAAAAAATATTGGAAACTCATTTTTTTCTTTATTATTTAGGTGTTATATTTGATCTTAGAATTAAAGTAGCAGGTTTAGAAAATAGTTTAGACACATTAACTGAAAATTTCAAAACGAAGCATATGCTAGTCAACTAGGAGAGGTAAGAGAGTGTCTTGCAAAGGTATATTTGCAATATAAAAACAGGTGAGAACCAGCAAGAGGCGAAATACCCAGGGAACTGCATTAGAAGAAACAAATGAAGACTTCGACTCCCGGAGTGCACTTAATAGGCCAAGAGGACCCAACCCGAAGCACAGCCTCCTCTTTAGAAGCACCACAACGAATGTGCTGTCCTCCATGCAGTTACAGAGTAATGAGCTTCACCAATATTTGGGAACCCTTGAAGTGTTACCAGCAGATCCACAACGAAGAGCCACTTTGATGTCTTAGAATATGAAAAACTAAAAAGGTATTTTTCCAGTATTATCAAGACTTGCCTTGGATGTTTTCTCTGTTCCTGTCTCAACTGTCTCATCCGAAACATTTAGTGCAAATAGAAGAATTTTAAATGAAAGGAGGACTAACTTTCTCAAAAAATGATTGAAGTCCTCACATGTCTTCGAGATTAGGAATGGTCGCGCCATCAGGATTAATACGAGGTTGTCGCCGATACTTTAATAGAATTATTTCATTTTATAATATAGATGATAAGGATGAAGAGGTCTTAGTCAACCCCCAATAGTTGTTTTGTAAGTTGTAAGTTGTAAATTAATTGTAATTATGCACTGTTTTTTCCTTACCAAGTTTTTGTCTCATTGAGTTTTTCTTGGTAAGGTTTTTAATGAGGCAATAATTGCTGTAATTTCTTATTTATTTTTTGATAAATGAATAAATCTATTTTTCTATATTACAATTTCATTGTATTAAAATTGAATTAATATTTGAAATGTTAACAAAAATTAATTTAATTGAATTATTGATATTTGAAAAGTTAACTAAAAAGTAAAAACAATTACACAAAAAAAAAAAAAAAATTATGGCCTAACCCGCCCGCATCAAGACCCGCCGAGTTAGGGTTTTGGCCAAGAGGCGGGCCTAACCTAACCCGCCCTTGTTGCGGGTCGGGCCTGGCGGTCGGGTTAGGCCCGACCCCCCAATTGCTATAACCCTGAGTGAAACTTAAGGTTTTAGATTTATAATTTTTATAAAAAACCGATTTTGGTTAACCGGTTTGAAATTACCCTTAATCGTTAACCGAATCTGTTTTCTAGTTTGTTCAATTTTGAAAACCGAAACTGAACCATTATTCCAAAAAACTATTTTCGACCAGTTTCCCAATTCAGTTTGTTTTCAGTTTTTTTTTTCACAGCCCTAATTAAAACAATGCCCTTGATTATTAAGTTGAAATGCTCTCGTGATCCATCCGTTTCTCTTCTATACATTACATGGAGTCTAACCTGAGGGTACGGTTTATTTTGTGATAATAATGTAGAACACTTCAGCATTTCAGTCTTGTCCATTAATATGTAAGAAGCAAGCCAAACAAGCATTGGACTACAGAAATATGTGCCTGTTTGTTGCACTTTTTGAAAAATTTTGTTGAAAAAATGTTTTAAGTTGAGATGAGTTCAATCAAATCAAATTGATTTGAATCTAAAATATGTTTGGTAAAATATTTGAAAATTATATTAGAGTTGGATAAATACTAAATAGTTATTCGGTACATATTTTGAAAAAGGTTTTTAAAACAGAAGTTGTTTGGTACATTTCTAAATATATTTAGATTGTTTTTTTAACCTCCTACATTTGTTAATTTAGCTAAACACCTCTACAATAAAAGTTTAAAAATTAACAAAATACCCCCCCACCCAAGAAGACAGTTGGCCATCGGCTACCACTGTTATGGCAACCGCAGTAGCCGAAACGGCGCACGATCGACTGGATTTGCCCAGTTATGACAAATCTTTGGCCATAGATCTGGCCATTTCTGGCTAGATCCATGGTGAATTTGGCAGGAAACAACAGATTGGTGCACGAACAACTAGATCCGGTCAGTCGTGCTCCGTTCTGGCAACGTCGGCTAGCAACAGCGGCGATGGTTGTTGGTAGGCAGTGTGGTCTTGGGTGGATTAATTTTCAGAGTGGAAGGAGAAAGAAAAAATGTTTTCAGTTGAATAGAGTTCATCTGAAATACAAGTCCCACCTTTTTTTCATTTTTAGATAAAAATCTTATTTGAGTTTGATTAATTTTCAATTGGATTGCCGAATAGTAAACAAATACATATCTTATTTTTTAATCCAAAAGGATAACAGAAAATAATTCAGAATAATGTAACAAATAGGGCATAAATTTCCACTTTTTATCCGATACAATACTGTAAACTAATGTGTCCATATACCTCAGAGTAATGCTAACCTTACATCACACTTTTACACAATTTCATTACATCATGATGTGGTATATGTCACAACCACATAAATTTTTAATTATTTAAATTTTTAATATTATAATAGAATTTGTATGGTTGTAACATACGTCACATCATGATGTTTACAAAATGTGGTAAGTGTAGCATTACTCATTCCTCAAGCCTTAATTTTTGGACAAACGGGTACCTAATAAGTTATTCCCCTGATTACTTCCCAAAACTTAATAACATAATTAGATACTGTGACGAAATAAATCAAAACTAAATAAAAAAACATTTATATAATTAATATATTATTAAAAAATGAAATATAAATAACTAGAAATTAAAATTATTGATGCTTGATTTAACGACTCGCTAAGCAACTTAAAATCACACGTGATAAGGAAACATGATGAGATAATGAATGGGAAGCGATATTTAAAGTGGTTCGAATGCCCAAAGCGAATCCTACGTCCACCATCTCTAAATGAGGTGTCCTCTATTTATAGTGGGAGGGTTCAAGGTAATGATAACGAGTTTGCAAGTGGTAGTGGTCGTGCAAGTCCTTTCTTGTATCCTATTGATTATTGCATGAAAATATTCTCAAATGCATAGGGCTTGGGTAGGTGGATATCCCTGGCCACTCGCAAGCCTGACATTCACCTGGTGCACTGACAAAATCATACCTCTTCAGTTATTGGGCGACGTGGTAGCACCGAGAGACACAAATCCTTTCTGAATCCAATTGGCTTTTGTTGATAGGAATCTCGCGCAACCCTAACTTTTCAACTTTTAAGGTATAACAAAATCACCTTAAAGAAAATAAAATCTTCACCTATTAGGTAAGAAGACTTCTATGTACATGTAATGGAGGAGCAGTTAGTTGGAAAAGTTCCAAACAATCGACCACTACCAACTCCACTATAGAAGCTGAATATATTGCCGCTTCAGAAGTAGCAAAAGAAGTGTGTGGATACGCAAATTTGTAGCTGAACTTGACGTGGTTCCGAAAATGAGTTATCTAATAACCTTGTTTTGCGATAATAATGGTGCTATTGCACAAGCAAAAGAACCAAGAGCACACCAAAAATCAAAACATATTTAGCGCAAATATCATATTTTGAGAGAGTTTGTTGAAGCTGGAGAAATTTTGGTGCAGAAAACACCTTCAGCGGATAACGTAGTTGATCCACTTACTAAAGCGATGACATAGAAGCAATTAGATCATCATCTTGAGAAGATGGGTATTAGATACCACAACGACTGGCTCTCGTGCAAGTGGGAGTTTTGTTAGTGTATGCCCTAGGAACCAATCGTGTCATCGGTTCCAAGGCATTATGTTTTGTATATATATGTGAATGTATATAGTTTGTATATACATTTTATCTTATCAATAGAAGAAAGTGTTCTTATTTGACATGTGGTTTATTGCTTCATTTATATATATGTATTACATGTGAAATGTCCAAATGATATAAATCTTTAGAAGATCAAAATCATCAAAGTATTCCTACATAGGTAATATTAATTGGGCAATAATATTACATAGTAGGCATGCTGAATGCCTCCGTAGAATATCATGTGATGGTATTGGTGTGGGTGATTATAAAAGTTATATCACTAGGGCATTAGCATGGATATACGGTTAGTGAACTATTTATCGAATATGGCCATTTATGATGAATCACATGGACGTATAAAATGTAGTCAATGATTTATCATAAGATCGTACTAGTGTATTATTAATCCTTAGACTTGAGATATTACGGTTGGATTTTGCATAAACGCATATGGTTCATATGGTGTATAAACACGAGGCTAATCATGTCATGTGTTAATAAGCCGATTTGGCCATGTGTTATGTGTGAGGACAAGTGATAGTCAAGATGGGATCCGTTGACTTGATATAGATTGATATCAAGTTCCTGGACAAATGTCAAGATACATTGGAAAAGGGACATCTCCGACCGGGGTATATAAAATGTTACATGAAAGGTTGTTTCATGGTGACACGTTCCATATGTATTGAATTAAAATTAAGATAAGGATTTTGACATACCATGAATCTATTCTTAATTGGAATTAGACAACGGAAGGATTTGATTATACAATGTGTATGATTGTAAAAGGTTTGTTGGAGTACATCTTTATTGTGACTTAGGGGTTATGGAGCAATATTGCTAGATGCCTACCATAATCAGTGGGAGTTTTGTTCATAAAAAGTTATGACAAAATATATCGAAATAGACTGTAATATTGGGCCCACGACTAGGTCATAGTGAACCTAAGAGGTCACACATAAAAACTAAGGAGAATGGAGAAATAGCCAAAGAGAATTGATTATCCAAGGTTGGATAGCACCTACCAAGGGTAATAAAGTTATTTATATTAATCATTTTCTTTATATTAAATTGGTTTTTATAAGGGGTTGTAATTGTAACAAATTAAGGGTTAAATTGTTATGTAAACAATTTAAGAGTTAAATTATTAATTGTGATTAAATGTTAATTGTGATTAAATGTTAATCCAATGTTATAATTTAAAGAAGTTTAACAACTTCATAACAATTATGGAATTATTTAAGGAAGTCCAAAACAATTATTTAATTGTTTACAAGGATTCCTACATAAAAAAAATGACATATCAATTTTTGTGTAGAGATTAAAATCTCTAAGAATCCTAAATCTCTCTCTTGGCCAAATTTTTTCTTCCCTTGGTGTGGATACTCTTTTGCTTAATTTCTCTTGAAATTAAGAGTCTCCAAGGTTGCTAAAGGCTTAAGGTAACATGTTCTACCTTACTTATTTCAATTTGATTGAAATTTATTTTTAAACTACGACTATAGTTGTTATAGTATGATATGCTTGATTCTCCATGCATCCATCTTTCACTTTCATAGCTGATGCATTTAATGAAATATCTTTTGCTCTAACAGATGTGTCATATGCGCAATAAGTGCTAGCCATGTGCATTAAATACGAGCCATGCTGAAACGACATTCCTTATCAGAGCATTAAATGCGGATGTGAACGCATTCAATGTCGAGGAGGGAAAACGTGTCGTTGCTTGAGTGTTTCAACGGAAGAGAACAACGATTTGGTTTCTCAAAGCTTGACGATCACTCTTCTTCGCTGATCTGTGACATGTGGTCGCGATCAACGGTGAGATGTGGTTTCTGTCCAAACGTCGTTTGATTTCGAGAAACCAAAGCGCCATTTCCTCCACTATAAAATCTCAAGTTCACTTCTAGCAATGCCACAATATTCATCTGCTCAAAGAGAGCAAGAGATTTTCGTGAGCCTTGGTTCTGTGTCTATTAGATTGGTGCACACTTGATATTCGAAGCAAGAGGACTAATCTTCTCATTTCAAGAGGTAACGATGATCCTTCTGCCACCTTTACTATTTTTTTTTCAATAGTTGCCATGAGATGACAGTCTGTCCGAAGTTGATCGGAGATGAAATATTCTCGTTGGGATTGAGCCATTGATGGTGGCTCTAAAAGTATTATGTTAGGGTTTTTCTAGGGTTTAAGGGAGGAAGTATTTTCTTTTTCCTCTACGTCATCGTACGAAACTGTGTACAAAGACTGAGTGATTCCCTGTATGTTGCTTTCGCAGACCGCAGTAGAATGGACTACCCAACGACCAGAGCTGAGGAAGGGACCAACTCGCCTGCGCAAGATGCTCCTATAGGTCCCCTTCGAGAGATCATGTTGATACTTACAGACGAAGAGCTTCAAAGGGTAGTAGATTAATACGCTATCAGTGTGGAGGCCTTCCAAGACAGGATACACACAGCTCGGAATCCGCCACGAGGGTTGGCCGCGATCTTCAAGGACATTTTCAAGGGTGGGGGGTTGATCCCTTTCCACCCCTTTGTCAGGTCGGTCCTCAACCATTTCGAGGTCACACCCTTACAGCTCACACCGAATGTATACATGATAACCGTGACCATGTACATCGCGTGCCGTGAAAACAGACTGGGTGAGCTAACCGCGCTAGAGCTCAGTTGCTCGTACATCCTGAAAAAGAGTAAGACAAGGATTCCTACTACCTTCCAGGTGAACTACCATTAAAGCAGGAATACACAGTTACTCGAGCAATGTAGGGGCGTACGAGACAAAATTCTTTTTCTTTCGTCATGATGGCATTTTCCATTTTCAGGAGCTAAGTAGGTCCTCTTTTCTTTTGAGTTCGTGAATTTTCGTTCGCTCTTTGCTAGCAAACTCTTTGTTTCTTCGCAGTTAACAAGACGACCAGGTTAGAGCTCCTCAAGGATCCAGACAGGATCGCTACCTTCGGCTTTCTGCCCGAAAAAGTCTCGACGTAAGATTGCTCGTGACAATCGTGAATATTTGGAAGTACGGTTTCTTCAACTCAAAAGTGACTTTAGAGACCACACCAAGTAAGCTTGTTGACTTTAGCCTTTTTGATTTCGCATGCAGTGAACTGTTTTACTAACGATGTTCACATGCAGTGACCATGCCTCTTAGGGTGCCCAAGTCACCACAACCACGACAATTCGCCTTTACCCGAAGGAGTGCCACTAGACCAGCTAGAGCGGCTCCCAATAGTCCCCTCAGCAGAGGCACATCGACAGCCGATCTGACCCAACCTGCGGGCGCTCCCCAGCATTCTGCTGCTCGCCCGAAGCAGAAAACCATGGCCCAAAGGCTTAAAAAGAAGAGGCAAATTCGGACTGAGGAGTTGGAGTCCGAACTGAAGGGTTTGGGCGTCCAGCCTAAGAGGTCGCAACATTACCAAGCATTCCGCTCAAGAGGGCCAGCTAGGGGCTCGATCGGCATCTCCATCGCTCCCGAGGGTCAGCAGGCAAGACAACAGATGACCGTAGTCCCTAGGAGGAGGTCGAAAAAGGAGCCGGTAGAAGGAACTCTACCTACTACGGGCACAGACACCCCCGTGGTGGAGTCAATGGGTCAGCTATAGGACATCTGCAGTCGATAGTCTTTGCTTTGCTTGAATGCGGGCTTGCGGAGGCTTTCGAGCATTTCGTAGCCTCCGGCACTATGGACCTGATGACCACGTCCTTCGAGCACTTGAGCAAGGTAAACGAGCTGCCCTCAACGAGGACATTTGCTTTTGTAATACAAAGGGCTAACTTTATTCTCTTCGTTATGCAAGCCCTGCTCTCCATGCACCTATCCCTGCAGAAAGTCTAGCTAGGGCCTGCTGAGGGACTGGTCGAGATGAGGATAGAGAATGCATGGCTCAAGCAAGAATTAGAGGTTGTGCAGGCAGATAGAGACTCGTCCATCGTTCAGGCGAAGCAGCATTTGTCCGAAAGGGATGCTACACTTCGCGCGCTAGAGAAGCGCAGCGAGGAGGTGAAAGACCTCCAGAGGACTATGGCCAGACTCACCGGGGAGGCTGGCGAGAAAGACCAGGCATTGCAAATGACCTCCAACGGGCCTTACGAGCAGAGAGGGAAAGGGGCGAACTGTGGGAGAATACTGAGAAGCAGCGGTCAATGCTTGAGGCTGAGCTCCACTTTACCCAAGCTCGGGTCACTTCTCTAACTGCGGAGAGGCAGCAACAAGAGGCGAAGGTCAAGAGTAGGGCTGCAGAATGGACGATTCAGTCCATCTTTGCCCTTCTGTCGAAGAACCCTGAGATGGATCTGTCTGACCTCTCTGACGAGTACCCAAAAAAACTTGCTTCCATGGCACAGGCTGAAGCTGAGGAAGTGGCTCGAGGACCTGACCTAGAAGAGGAACATCCTGAGTTCGTTCTAGAGGAGCCCGCACCCGAATAGGCGACCGACGACCAGCTTGGGGATGAGGATCAGTGATCCGTTTCTCTTGTTTTCTCCCTTTTTGCCTATGTACTTTCCCTTTTTATAAATAAAGACATCGCTTTTTACAATCTTTCATGAGTATTTACAATTTTCGTATTCTTACATATGAGATCGCATTCTAACTATTTACAATAACATTGGTACAAGTTTATGCGAACAGAACTGTATACATGGGAAAATGATTACAAATGAACAGAATTTACACTTGCTATTTACAAAGATTACAAAAATTAAGAAAAGTAAAATCTTTACAAGGAAACAATTGAGCTTAGAATTATTGATAATATGGTCGGAGATGCTCTGTATTCCAAGCTCGGGGTATTTCGGAACCATTCAGCTGTTTGAGATGATAAGTCCCCGTTCTTATTACTTTGGTGATGCGGTATGGGCCCTCCCAGTTCAGTCCCAGAACTCCCACACTTAATTCTTTATTACTGAGAAGGACTTCCTTTAAAACGAGGTCGCCGACCTGGAAGTCTCTTCTTCTGACCTTAGAGTCGAAGAACCTTTTTGCACGTTGCTGATAGGCTGCTATTCTTAGCTGAGCCTTGCTGCGATGTTCTTCAACTAGGTCCAGACTTGCGAGTATGAGCGCTTCATTGTCGGCTTCGCTGAACAGGTCCCTCCAAAGTGAACTGGTCCCTACCTCCACATGGATCATTGCTTCGCAACCATATGCTAGCGAAAAATGGGTTTATAAGGTAGAGGTTCTCGAAGTCATCATATAGGCCCACAGGACTTTAAGAAGGTCGTCGACCCAATTTCCCTTAGCTGCGCCAAGTTTGGCCTTCAGAGTATGCTTGATGGTTTTGTTGACAGCTTCAACTTGACCATTTGCTTGCGGTCTTATGACTGAGGCAAATTTTTTGTGGATACCTAGCTCGTCGCAAAACTGCTTGAACTCCTCGTTATCGAACTGCTTCCCATTATCAGATATGAGGGTATGAGGAATCCCATAGCGGCACACAATGTTTTTGAAGACGAACTCCTTGAGCTTTTTGGTGGTGATTGTGGCTAATGGCTCTACTTTGACCCACTTGGTGAAGTAGTCCACCGTGACCATCGCATACTTGACTTCCCCTTTACCAACTGGCATGGGACCAATGAGGTTGATTTCCTACATGAAAAATGGCTAGGGGCTGGTCATGGTTATCAGCTGGTGGGAAAGAGCTCACGGTATGTTCGTGAACCGTTGGCACTTGTCACATTTTTTGACAAAGTTGTAGGTGTCCTCTTGGATCAGGGGCCAATAATACCCTTGACAAACAACTTTGTTGGCGAGAGATCGTGCTGTCGTGTGATTATCGCAGATCCCTTCATGTATCTCTTACATGATGTAGTCTACTTCTTCACCGGTTACACATCGGAGAAAGGGGGCGCTAAACCCTCGCCTGTACAACTGGTCTCTTATTAGTGTGTAACGAACAGCTCTTGCCCGCAGGGTCCTTGCTTCGACCTTGTCGTTGGGTAAGACCCTATCTCGAAGATACTAAATTATAGGGGTCATCTAGGAAACTGATTCTGCTGTATTCACGACTTGTTCGGTTGAGCTGATACTAGGAGCCTTTATAAACCTAACAGGAATACTTTCCAGTGCATCTGAGTCTAACGATGAGGCTATCTTTGCCAAGGCATCTGCCACAAAATTGCTATCTCTAGGAATCTATGTGATCATGAAGTGCTTGAATGGCTCGAGTGCGACCTTAGCTTTCTTCAGATAGCTGATCATATTTTCTTCCTTGGCCTAGTATTCCCCTAAAATATGGTTGACAACCAGCATGGAGTCGTTGTGGATGCTGATCGTGGTTGATCTCATTTCTCTGGCCAACCGCAATCCAGCGAGCAGAGCTTCATATTCAGCCTCATTATTGGTCGCTTTGAACCCAAACCGGAGGATGCCATGAATACGAATTCCCTCGAGACTTAAGAGGAGAAGACCTACCCTGGCCCTCTTCCTGTTCGATGATCCGTCAACATATATAGGCTCTAGGTCGATAGATTCTGAATAGTTTCCTGGCTGGCTTCACTGGCTTGTTGCTCGGATTCCTTAGTCGGATGATATGAGAATTCCAAAATGAAATCAGCAATAACCTGCCCTTTGATAGTTATTTTTTGTCTATATTGCAGATCGAACTAACTTAGTTCCATGGCCCATTTGAGCAATTTACCCGATGCCTCTGGTTTTTGGAGGACCTGCCTGAGCAGGTAACTTGTCATTACATGGATTGTATGGGCCTGGAAGTAAGATCGCAACTTTCGGGAAGCGATTAGCAGGGCATAAGCTAATCATTCTATTTCTGGATATTATATCTCGGCATCCAATAGATGCTTGCTCGTGTAATACACTAGCCATTGAACCTTGCTCTTCTCCCGAACTAACGCTGCACTAACCGCGTACTGAGAGACGGACAAATACAGGAGCAAAATCTCTTGCGAGAGAGACTTGGATAGAAGAGGTGGCCTTCCAAGGTGCTCTTTAATGCTCTGAAATGTCTGTTCGCACTCGAGAGTCCACTCAAACTTTTTATTGGCCCTGAGAATGTTGAAGAATGGCAAGCAGCGATCTGTTGCCCTTGATATGAAGCGACTGAGCGTCGCTATTCACCCATTGAGGCTTTGAACCTGTTTTCGGTTGGTCGGGCTCTTCATATCGAGGAGAGCTTGGATTTTCTCGGGGTTGATCTCTATTCCCCACTGGTTAACCATGTACCCTAGGAATTTTCCTGAGGATACTCTGAATGAGCATTTGAAAGGATTGAGCTTCATTATGTATTCCCGGAGGATGTCAAACATCTCAGCGAGATGTGCTATGTGATCTAAAGCCACATGCGACTTGACTAGCATGTCATCAACATAGACTTCCATCGACTTCCCTATC